TACTTCCACCGTGGCCACAAATTCTTAAACGGACATTCATCGAAGTGCAATATGGTAACTCTTTTAAAATATAAGAAATGATATGTTCTATCTCAATTATGTACTTATCTCTCTTAGATTCTTTATGTATGCAACGAAGCACCCACTTATAGCTCTTTACTAAGCACATCGTAATGAATATCAAAGTACACCAATCCTTCAATGAAAGACTATTTGTACCCATCTCATATGAGATTTTCATAGACTATACCAAATGGATTCTCATGACAAGTCACGTTCGGTGATAGGTTACCTAACATTATTCACATGTGTACTTCCTTTGGCATCACCATGTCGTAGGTGTGAGATCTCCTATCACTATCTTATAACAAGAGTATAACACACACAAGTCTTATCGTATATTGTCAATATCTAATTTTGACAATGCTATAAATTCAAATATTTAATGATTTTATTTAAGTGGATTGGTGTTTGTCTCGCATCTATTAATCAATCATCAAAGCAACAAACATCATGCGGACTTGGTTGTTTTTCATAGCCTCCATAACCATTTGGGCGATCATCTCGCTATACTCGATATGTTAAAAACATGTGTTGGGTTTAAGAATGTCGTGTATTCAACAATTGTTGTCTTTCGAGCTTTTTTTTTTTTTTTCACTCGTTATCTCCTACCCAATTGTTCCTAGGTGTAATAATACTTCTTAGTTTTTGTGTGTATGTGTTTTATTCTTACTTTTGTATACATATATTTTGTTTTATTGTTTGTTTCGCAAGTTTCTCTTAGGTGTAATTTTAAAAGACATTATTTATTTATTTATTTATTTATTTTATTATTAGGAGAGATGGTATATACCTATCACAGTGGCAAACATGCTCAGTTGGTGCATCCAGCATTTTCCAATTCATAATAATTATTAATGGAGTCTATTCGATGCTGGGACTAACATAACAGCATCATCTTAAGGACAACAACGAAGAGAGAGAGAGAGAGACCCAGTGGTGCACTTAAAAAGAGTAGCTGTGGTCCTTTTCACTTCATAATACTACTAAAGAGCATTTTCTTTCTTTCAAGTCATTGAAAACGAGAATTGGATTCACCTACTTTCACTTTTTTCATTTCGCTGTAGCTTTGGATCCTGGCAGATGACTATCCGCTTCAATGTACGCATGCTTCACCAAGTTCGAGTCTCTTATCACTTTCCACAAAGTTCATTGTCGATCATGAGTTTTCTTTCTTTTTCTTTCGGTTTCAACGGTTCAAGAAAGCATTCTTTTCTTTTTCTTTTTTAAACCAGATCAATACTTGACCCATCAATTCAACCAGCTGGATTTGATCAGGTTTAATAGACTTTCTTGCGTATTGCATCTTTAACCCAAACTCAAAATGGTTAGCTGACTAACTTTTTTTATCAAACCAACTTATCCATTCTAGATTTAACAACTTCCAAGTTAAAATATTCGTTTCTTTTCGATTTTGTTTTAAACAAATCACCTATGTCTTCGAGTTAACGTGTTAAAAAGGATAAATTTTTACCTTCAATTCCTTTTGGGTTATGCTTACCACGCAAACCGACACTTTCAATGATTGTGAATAATTACAGCGGAAGATTTAGGTCCACAAACTGTAATTGTAACTTTCTATCATTATATTTCTAAAAAAAAAAAATCTTGTTGTTTAATATTTTGGCAATTCTCCAAACGAACTCGAGCTTCAGTCCCTCTTTCTTGAGTTGCCACTGAGGGAATCGAGAAGGAAGAGGACCTAATTCATATGTGATTTGTAAAATGTTTTGATGACTGTAGCATGCAATAATCTTGACGACCATATATAATTTTCAAATGGATTGATGTGTATTTCTCTCTAAATTATTGGAGAGATTAAATGGTCAAGCGTCCATTTTGCCTAAATCAGACTGAATGGATCGACATCAACTGAGGAGTGGGGACATAAACTCTTACGAGGGTCTGACTGATCTGTACTTGAATAATTTGTACAGGACAAAACATCACATATGATTTCATCATTTACCTTGATTGACATAATCTAATGGGTCCATCAATCCATGCCCCTGGGGACCGGTGCGAGAAGCAAAATGGGAATTACGATATGCAAACGAGGGTATTATTGAGCTGTTAAATTGAATAGAATGCAGATGGATTGTGAGTCGAACTTTGTTTTTCTTTCATGGTCAAACGATCTTTGTGTAAACTTCTAAGCTTCGAGAGATTAAGTTTATTTTTCCGACCAAATTAAAATTAAATTATGAAGTTTGAAATAGTAGCGTGACTGAGAAGAAAAGGCATTCTATTGTCCATTAGGTTAATCCCTGGATTAGTTATACTTTGGACCTCGAAGTCATCTAATTAACGACTACCAGTAATAAAGCCAAGATCATATTTTAATCCCTTGGTTAATAATGAGTTGTTATTGGGGATTAAATGCTTCACAAGGAATAAGTAGAATCGTTACATTTATGATAATTTAGCTTATAACTAGTTTGTTGTTTGTGTTACATTACAGATCAAAAATAATATGTGAAATTAAATAAAATTTTTATTATAAGTCAATAGTTCATATCATGTTGTAGGTATACTAAAATATATTGAAATAAAAAGAAAAAAATCACATATTATTTGAAAAAGATTTTATTTGAAATGTATGGTACTTGTTTTTTAACATAATTCTAATTATTTTTTTTGAAAAAATTGATATCCAAAAAAAAATAAATAAATATTAAGTGTTTTGTGTGTATATGGATAATCAATTTACAATTAAAAACACTTATAAAATTACTTTCTATATCTTTTGATTATATAAAAAAAAACACATTGATTTTATTTTTTTCTTCCTAAAGTATATTTTTATTTCTAATCCATACATGTTTGGTCCATCGTATATGGGGTTTCACATGTGTAACAATTAATTCTCTCCTTTTTTTTCACTTCTTACTTTTAATTATTATACAAAAACTCAAAAATATTCTCTCTCAAAAATTCAAGTGAATATTTTGAGTTATGAATTTTCTTTCTTCAACTATTTCATGATTTAAAATCATCATAAATAAATTATTCTATCTAAAATAAATAAATTGAAATCATAAAAGACAATTAAAGTAGTCGGAATAATTTTCATCGTTGTATTCTTTTTATTCCTTACTCTTTTTTCGTTTTTCTTTACAACTAAAAAGCAAAATACGATATAAATAAAATTAAAAATCAAAACAAAATTTTTTAAAAAAATCTAATATTTTTTAAAACTTCATATCATAAAAGTCAGAATAATACTATCATAAATATATAAAAATAGACCAAAGATTATAATGGTACATAAAAAAAAATTACAGCATTATGAAATGAACAGTGTATATGAACAGGTGAAATGGAATGAATAGTAATTATAACATTTGTTTTAGGTTTTTTTATCTTAATAGTCAGACTCCAGGGCTCTGCAAGTCAATGCCAAATAATGAACTCTTTTTTGACGATTTCTCTCAGGCTCAGTCACAGCTGGGCCCCACCCATTTTTGTCGAAAATTCTACACACCGCCAATGGCATATTACCAGCTGGAGTTTACATCAAAACAGAACCACTTTCTACCGAAGCGCGTGTTGAATGGTCTCAATTATTACTATTAGTTTGAATCTTTAACGTTTTATGAGGGAAAAGAAAGAAAAAAACATAGATGAGATACAGTCTCTTTGTATTTCTTATAAATATTAAGAATGTGTTTTTTTTTTTTTTATCTTAATTGTGATTGTATGATAAGTGCATAATCATATTTGATCCTTAAATTTTTTAAATTTTATAGCTTTGCTCTAAAATAAATAATTTCAAAATTTCAAACAAGTGTTTAGTAAATATTTTTATACTCCATTTTTAAAATTCAAAAAGTATAAAGTAGTTTTATTTTATAATACATGTTAGGTTCGGTCTCAAAAAAATATGAAAGTAAATACGTTTTGAGATAAAAAAAATACTTATTTTTAATAGCCTTGTTTTTTTAAGTGCAAAATTTTGTACAATGCATATTTATCTTAATATTTATAAGAATATTCCAAACTATATTACTTCAATCTTATTTCAACTTTAAAAAAATAATGTTAATAATTTTTTATCAATATAATTGCTAAAAATATCATACTAAATTTATATTTTCTATAATCATTTTTAATTTATATATCACAAGAATAAATTTATTTGTAATACCATATCATAATTTATTATCAAATATTTAATAGTTTTGTTGTACAATATAGGACAACATAAATGAAGGCTAAACAAATTTGTAGTGAGTTTTATATAGTTTAATATACATCGGATACATAATTAAGATATTTTTAAATTAAGTTAACTGATTAATTTTAACATTATTAAATTATTTTTTTTAAAATGGCATGTAAATTTGAATGACTAGTAGTTAATTATAGCATTCATAGTTTAAAAAAAAAAAAAAAAACCTTCTTAGTTACCGATCACTCTTTTGAAAATTATTAATTTTTATATGATTGTAAATTGCTCGACTTTATCACTATATTTTTCAATAATTTTTTATTTGAAAAAAATGTACTTAGAAGATCTCAATTAAATCCTAGAGATAGACATTGACTGTTTTATGAACAAATGGAAATGATTGTGGTTCCTTTGAAGCTATGTTTAAGACCTAACAAGTCTTTACCTTTAGGTAAAAACCCTAATTAACCAACCCATTAAAAAATCACCCCACTTTTGTGTCCTCGACTGGAGCGTGAATCACAAAGCCCTAAAAAATGCATTGAGACTAAAACCACTGAGGAAACTTCAAAGTCCTGAGTCTCCACCAAAACATTGCTTACCAAACTAAAAGAAAGTAAACAAAGTCCCCCATCTCTCTCTCTCTCTCTCTCTCGCGTTTCTCCTTCCCCTTCCCTTCTGAAAAACTTTTCATTTCTCTCTCTCTCTCTATTACAAATAGAAGAGAGCAACTAGAAAGAAAGCAAGAAAAACACCAGGAAGAATATCAATGGAAACCTCACCAAGATATCAAGACAACCAAAACACACGGTCTCTCCTTCCTTCGCCAACAAGCCACAGCAGCAGCAGCAGCAGCAATAGCAACAGCAACAGCAGCTCCACCACTACCACCACCACAACAAATAATGTCGCACTCAACAACAATATTAACCACCATCCACCACTTCCATCACCCAAACCCATTTCCAGATCCGAATCCACTAACCCATACCCGACAACTTTTGTCCAAGCTGACACTTCTTCCTTCAAACAAGTAGTCCAGATGTTGACTGGATCACCCAAACCCACATCCACCACCACCACCACCACGACTACTCCCAACACCTCGCAGCCAGACTCATCACCTAAAACCCACAACATCCCTCCAATTAAATCCATACCCAAAAGGAACCAATCTTCTGGGTTCAAGCTTTATGAACGTAGGAACTCACTCAAGAACCTCAAGATCAACCCTTTAAATCCAATTTTTGCCCAACCCAGTTCAGGTTTTTCTCCAAGGAAGCCAGAGATTCTCTCTCCAAGCATTCTTGATTTTCCTTCTCTTGTTTTAAGCCCGGTTACTCCTTTAATACCCGACCCGTTTGACCGATCCGGATCAGCAAAGTATGCTAATTGTTTTAGTCCCATGAACAACAACAACAACAACAACAGCAACGACGACAGTAACAACGACAAGAATAACGTTGTTAATGGCGATGTAATGGATACTGATGCTGAGGAGAAAGCGATCAAAGAGAGAGGATTTTACTTGCACCCGTCACCAGGATCCACGCCTAGAGAAACGGAGCCCCGATTGTTGCCTCTATTTCCTGTTACTTCACCAAGAGTTTCAGGTTCTGCTAATCCTTCATCTTGAATTAAAAATAATAGTAATAAATGTCATTTCTATTTTTTTCCCTTTTTGTGTAAGATTTTTATATATAATTATATATATTGTTGCTGGCATTGATGGTAATTAAGGTGGTGCTGATTATGAGAGTAAACGAAAAGAAAAGGAAAAAAAATCTTGTGCGTTTGGATATTTGAAGAGAATGAGAGGATCTTTGCTTCATTCAACTGTATATTTTGATGCTTGTTTTATTTTTGTTCATATTTTCTCATTTAGGCCTTTTATTTTTGTTGGGTTAAAGTGTTTGGTTGAAGGGAAAGTTGAGCATGATAAAAAGGAAAATAAAGTTAAAAAAGAAAAGAGGAAAGGAAAGGAGTCAAATTTTGACTGCTATAACTTTTAAATGTGCAATAAACCTGTAGTAATAAATTTGCTAAAAAGCAAAGCCAATTATTAGAAACAATTAGAATTGGAATTTACTTAAATTTGGTTAATTATCTAACTTCTAGTTTGTTACGTTACAACTTCACATGTTGTATCTAGCGAATTTAAGAGCCATTTGGTGGTTAGCTTTCTATCTCAACCCTTTTTTTTTTTTTTTTGAAAAGGAAATATCCAAGTAAATGCAGGATGGCTGTAATTTTGAATTTTGAATACGACAATCACTGACTGTCCATTTTTCCATTCTCTCAATAAATGCAAAAACGAAAGGACTGATGCCCCAATTCAGCAGAATGCAATAACTCTTTTCAGAGGCAATGTAAGAACAGTAGTTGAATAGTGAGGCAGGAAGAGATTAATGGGAAAAGTTCTTGCATCTCAAATGGGCAAAAGCAACTTTAGACTTGCTGTCAAAGAACGAGTGGATAAATGGGCAAGGAATCTTGACCCCCATATTGTTTTCAGTTTTTTTGAGTGGAGGAAAAAGATAGCCCAGGAGAGACAAGCTTTTCTATGGGCTTGTCTTAAAAGCACTGTAACGTGTTTTTTAATGCTCCTAGATCATTTTCCACTTAGGCCTAGAAATACCTATTTACTCTATCCTGCCGCATGATGTTATTTATATCTACTATGATAGGTCATTTTGGACAAGGAGCTGACCTCTGGATATGTAATGGGTCCCATTAAAAGTTGTGCTTAAGCAGGATTTTGAGTACAAAAAATAGCTATTGCAGTTCTTTAAGAAATGGTTGCCTTTTTTTTTTTTTTTTTTTGGTTGCTTTGGTGTGGGGGGTTGTAGTTAGGGTCTTGTTAAGGAAGTAAGCAATAATTTTAGTGGGTGTTAATGTCCAGAAGGGTAGAATTTCAGCCATCGGAGAAGGTGATTGTCTTGTCGGGATTGCTGTTAATTTTGGGGCCCACTTTGTGTGTAAGAATTGTGCGAAAGGAATGGCCCGTTTGAGTTTTCATAAGTTAAGAGGGGTAGTTTGATATTCAAAAGTCTAGAGTTTGCTGGAAAAGCAATCATGCAAAGGCAGTTAGTTTCCTTCTCCTTTGAATCTAGCACTTGATTGCTTTTAAGCTTCCTTTTTGACTCGAAGAAGACCAGAACTGTAGTAAATGGGGACATAAGAAAGTGAAGGTGGCACGGGTAGTGGGACTTGAGATGATGAAAGGAAAGGAAGGAAAAAAAAAAAAAAAAGAGGACGAAGGATGGTAATGGGAAAAGCCAGAAAACATGGTGCGTAGGGTGGGCTCTCGTGTTTTCTTTTGTTTTATCCTTGTAAGCTATTTGTTTCTTTCCTTGGACAAGTTGGTTAGGAAACTCTGCATCTCACGGTTGGTGGGTCATTAATGGAGAAATTTGAAACTTTCATGTGCGCCGTTTGGAGTGGAGAGACCCTTCTTTGGCCCTTTGTTTGCCAATCATCATCAAAAGCCGTCTTTTTCTTCTTCTTCCTTCCCTTATCAATCTGTTCTTCTAATTGCATTTTTTCCACGTGGCATGCTCCAATTCAATCGATGGAGTGGAGTGGATTTTTATTAATTCACGGGTCAAATGTTGAATGCTAGGCACATTAATTAATATTAAAAGCATGCCAAGTTTTTCAACTTCCATTTGAATAGAATAAATTTGTCTAATTGGTGTGTTGTGGTTAAAGGGAGGGAGAACCAAACAAGATTAAGATAAAGCATTTTGGTGGAAAATGGTTGATGGGGAAGTTCCTTTCCATGGACATATGTCAATGGTTCATGTGGAAAAGAAATTCACATATAATACGACGGTTGATATGAGCCGTCCATGGAGAACAATTTCTTGAAAAGACTACAGGCATGCGTTTATTCCCACTACCAAAAGGTATATGAGAGAACAAATACTTTGTCTGATAATATGTCAATTTGAAGCTTGAAAAAATGGTGGTCTTTTTTCTTCTCCAGATTGCTTAGACAAATATCAAATTATTATGTCAACTACATTGTCCAAAAAAATCACTATTTTATTTATTCCCTCCTGGAGGAATACTCTTCCGATAATAACATGCAAAACTATTCGAATAAGAATTAAAACCTTCGAAATAATTTAACAACAGATTCAACGATTGTGAAAAATCCGTGGATTTTAGTGGCAGTTGGTTGGGGCGTAAAAATGGACCAAGAAAGGTAGCTGCTATTGAGGTCTAAGATTCGATTTTTGTATTCAGCATCGGGAATTTATTCTCAGAATATCTAAAATCATATGTTGGTATTGTTTCGTAATCATGTTTATAGAGGAATTAGTCTTGAAGTATGTAAAAGTTGATCCGATTAAATCCTTACTATTTGAAAAAGAAAAAAGAAAAAAAATGGAGATGCCAGGCCCTTTTGTTTTGGACAGTACTACATTTTGCATCTTGCTTCCTGGGCCTTCGAGTTAAATTCTTAATGATAATCATCATATACATGTGTCCAAATCTATTTGATATCTATGGAGCAAGATTGCGTGTGAATTTGTGACATTGATTACGTATATAGAGCTTGTCAATGTCGTATATATGAATAGGTGATGAATGCAACTAGATTTGGACAAAGGTTGATCCAAGATGACTAGCTAGCTAGGATCTGCTAGAACTTGAATACATAAGAATACAGAGCTACATGGCCGCAAAATATCTAACAGTCATTGGCCCGCTTTAGTTTGATCATTTGTTTCCTTTGCACGGTCAATTAGACATGCATTCTTATTGGATTATTATGTGGAGATGATCAAAGAATTTTAGATGGATGATATAGCTGGCAGTTTGAGAAATGCAGAGAAAAGCCTAATCAAAACTTTCATTAAATTAAAATTACATAGAAAATACTAGCCCTTTCATTTCCTCCAAATGTTACATATAAAGTTGAGAATCAGAAGAAGAGATCACAAGACATGCAATTACAATGAGAGACACTTTTGACATCAAACACGAAAGAAGAACACAAACAACAATTAAAAAACGTAATTAAAATACCATATTAAACTGCAGCGTAGCGTTAGAGGAGGAAATGTAGCAAACAAATTGACGACCAAAGAATCCCAGATAAATGCATACTTAAAAGGGCAACAATCCTTTCCCTTTTCTTTTGCACGTAATGGTTCTCTCTCTTCTGTGATCATTCTCTTCATTGATTAATGAGTGTACCGGTAGCACTTTGTGGCGGTGGTGCATCCACGTTTGTAAGGATTAGCCTTTTGCCGCTTGTTACAGTTGTAGTAGGAACTACCGCGACGATTGCAAGGGACTGAGTTAGCCTTTAGGGCTCCATAACTAATGTATCTTTTCTGCTGAGCCAGCAGTCTGTGGTTGATCTCAGAATCCATCATCATTTCGGTGCTGAAGTCGAATCCATTATTGTCATGGCCTACAGTGGTTAGGCCCCAGAGGTCATCATGCAATGATGCTGCTGACTCAACAATCATGGCCGTAGCCAACATGAGCAAAACCAGCCAAAACTTAGAACCCATTTTGGGCATGGGAACAAACAATGAGTAGGTAGTACTACAAGAGAGGGTTCGGTAATATGCCAACGCCCTGCCCTTCCTAATAGAGGAGGGGAAGAGAAGGATACACAAAAAGGAAAGATGGGATGATTTTCAACTTGTTGGGATAAAAAGGAGGGAGAGATGGAGCTTGGAGGTGAAGGGTAAGATTTGTGGTTATTAGTTTTATGACTTAAACGTGAATTTGGGGGTGTCCGTTTCTTACTCCTTGTTTTTCTGCTAAGATCTGTTGTTTTTTAGGTTGTTCTTTCTATAGTTTGGGGTTTGTGTTATTGGCAATCCTTTTATTAGAAACTAAGATTTGTTGTTTTTAACTGTCTGTTATCTCTAATTTGGATCACAAAACCCCCTTTTTTTTCCGTCCTAGAACAATTGCCTATTCATGGTAATGTTTGAGAGGGTTGCTTCTCTGTGGGTCGATTAGTTCATATCTATTACGATTATGTTGGTATATATATATGCGCAAATGAACAGGCTACTTTCCCTATTTTTTGCAATTTTGTTTAAACTTTTTGGAATGAAACTCTAGATCTCAATACTTATAATTAATAAAGATAGTTGTTGTTCACCTGTATTAACTTGAAGCTTTTCATAATAAAGAAGCTATGTTCATGTTGATTAATTGATTATGGTTAAAGGTGGCCCTGCTCAATTAGATGTTATCCAACTAAACTAAATGAAGTTCGGGCCAACACCAGATGATGCTGTTCTTTTTCTTATTCTTCCTCAACGGTAAAGATGTCCTATAGTTAGTTTTTTTGTATGATAATTAAATCCTTCACCGATTGGATTTTAAACAAATAATCAGTGTATATATATAAAACAAGAATTTCATTAACATATCATAAAAGGCTATACAATGATGGAGGCAATTATGATGAAAGAAAAGTACAGCATTTCAAACTCTTAACAAGCTTTTCTATATTTGATTATTTAAACCATTATTTGAAGAGAAATTTCCCGTGCATTAGTAGTCATAAATTTTTTGTTCTTTTTTAAAGTTATCTAGATAAATGAAAACTTTCCAACGAAACTCAATAAACACTCGTATCCATAGAATATTTTTGAAAATTGTCTAAAATATTTATAGTTTTTAGTAGTAATATGGCAACAAATTTTATGTTGAGAATTAGAATCTTAGAATTTTTTGAAGGATATGTTTTAGTTTCTTTTTAATTTCTTAGATTTTCTATCATAAAGTTAAGAGAAAATTGCAATTTGAGGGTCCAAATTTTGATTTTTTTTCTTACTTGAATGCCTAATCGATAAATTATTTTATTTGAGTGTCCAAGTCTCGATTTTTTTTTATTTTTTTTTACGTTTTGTTTGAGTGTCCACAATTATTTGAAGTTGAAAAATGCCAAAATGTCCATTATAAACTCTCATTTGATAGTTTTAACTGGCACATGGTAAAAATTGAATCTACGTGGATTATTAAAAATAAATTATTTTTTATAGAAAAAAAGTAATTTGAGTGCCTAATTTTTTATTATTTTTCAGTTGAGTGCCCAACATTTTTTTTTTTTTGAGTTCTTTTAGTCACCTAAAACTAAAAAATACTTGCGTATTTGAAATCCACCAACACACAGTAGTTTTTAACCGACATGACAAAAAAATGAGTTTCACTTGAATTTATTTGGAAAAAATTAAAAAAATACAAATTTTCTTATAAAGAAATAGATGGAAATAATTAAAAAAATAAAAAAATCAATTATTGTTAGTCGAATGAACTTAACAAGTTTACGAATCAATTTCTTAAAATATTTTTAAGATATTATCATCTAAAAATTTCATTTGCCTAATCTAAAAGTTTTAACTTTTTATCATCTAAACAATTCGAATTCATTCAGTTAATAGTAATTAATTTTGATTTATTATTATTACTCTTGCGAGCTATTTTCCTTGTATAAAAGTTTTATTTTTTCTTAGTAAATTTGAGCAAGATCTATTTTTTATCATATATCGGTTAAAAATTATCGCATGTCGACTTGAACCCGATCATGTCATTATTTTCTAGTCTTGGATGATTGAGGTAAATAAATAAAAAAAATGTTGACACTCAAATGGAAAAATAATAAAAGGATAGGCACTCAAATTGTATATTTTTTTTAACAATCTAAGACATAATAGTATTTTCTAATTTCAGGTGATTGTAGGTATGCAAACATTAAATAAATAAAAAAATCAACCTTAGAAACTTAAATAGAAGGATTTATCGATTGGATACTCAAACATAAATAAAATCAAAAATTGAATACTCAAGTTGTAATTTTTTTCTAAAGTTAAAAAGTATATATAAAAGTTAAGTATTAACCCAAATCTTAATTTTAGTGTTTAATTCAATAAATCTTTGGTAGAAGGATCTTAACCATTAATTTATTTTGAAAAGGTTATATTAAAAGAAAATTATATATCATGTTTTGTTGAATATAAAAGGATCCAAATTTGTAAAACTAGTTGTTATTTGTTAAGAAAGGAGGACGATTGTCCCTCTTAATTTCTTGTACTTCACACTTTAATCCTTATACTTTTTTAATTTTCATTATATTTTCAAATAAAAATACATTAATTGCCTTCTATAGTTTTCTTATTTACCTATGAAAAATTTGCCCCTCAACAAATGTAAGGAGTAAACCTACGTAGCAATCAAGCTTAAACCTCCAAGAGTAATCATCTCCATTTCTAATATATGCATGGTAGATGTTGATGAAAATATCTCCAGTGAATAAACAAGTAGATTAAGGTACAATTCTAAATACATAAAAAAAGATTAACGTACTAGGATTTTTTGGATGATTCAAAAACGATTAAATTACTACCTTGGATTGAAACTTCCAACAACATAAGGAAAAAAAAAAGGTTGACTTCTGAAGTGCTTCATTTTGTATATAACCTTCAACAAACTATATATATATATATATATATATATATTATTTTTCAGTACAGGACGCCTGTTGGATAACTAGCAAATGTTGGAGGTTAGATAAGATTTGCTGACAACATATGGCAATAGGGGACGCATTTCGATTTTAGATTCAGTTTTTATAATTTCTGTTCGGTTTTCAGTTAATTGAATACATAAAAACAAAAAATGAATTCAAGCTGAATTGCTATTTTTTTTATTTAAAAACCAAAATTTTGGTTTTTGGTTTTTTCAGTTTAAACCAAATCTTTTTATTTTTTATTTTTTTCTTAATTTTTAAAATAATATACACAAACCAAACACATCATCAATCCATTATATATTTATAATAATGTTAAAGTATTATTTTTTTAGTTATTTGTATTATTTTCAAACTTTTTAAAAAATGGGCTTTTGGTTTAAACCAAACTGGACCTAAAAACTAAAAAAATTCAGCTTTTTTTATATTATTATTATTTAATTTTAAGCTAAAAACTGAACTAAAATTGAATTTTATTTTGTGGTTCAAATCGAATAGTGCTCCCTTTATATGCCAAGAATTGGAGTCTCCTGTTTTGTTTCTTATGTCATGAAATTTGCCTTGTACTTTCTTTTGGCCAAACCCAATTTGATTTGGTTTGATAGCATAATTAATTAATGGACAAAATAAAACATGTAATATCAATTTAGACTATTTGAATATGAAGTTATTAAATTTTTATGTAAATTTTATTCTCTTCTCGTTATGTTTGACGATCAAAGCGTTAAACGTTAATTGAAATATTTAAAATAACATTGTTTTAATAGCATTTCATTTTTATTTGAGAATTCAAAAAATAATATTTACTAATATATAGTTAGTTTTAAAACAAGTTAGATAATTTTGTTGTTTATGGGTATAACTTTTGCTGTTGGATAATTAATGATGTGTAATTGATTTTTTTAGTAAAAAAAAATTAATTAATTAATTTTTTTTTTTTAATTTTTTAGAATTAAAATTAATTTTGAAAAAATATTTAATAATAATTAGCTTTAATAAAGCTTGGATGATTTTGTTGTTTATGGATTTAATTTTTGTTATTGAATAGTTAATGATGTATAACATATGCATTTAGTAAAAATAATTTAATTATTAGTTTTAAGTATTTTCACTAATGGTCAATACTTTAGCCGTTAGAGATAACAAAAAAATAAAAAAATAAAAATAATTTGAGATTTAGATAGTTTTAATTGACAGTATAAACTTTATTTTACTGATTTGAATTTATCAAATTTGGGAGTTGGGATTTCGGAAGCATCATACCTGCTCTACATTTGTACTTGCAGCATAGTTCGACTGTCGGAGCCACTACCTGTTGGGCTGGGCTAGATGGATTTTAACACCGTCATTCTTGGACTGTAGTCGATTTGGAGCGATTGGAGAAAATGTTTGCCCTACCCCAATGGCTACTCTTCCTTCTAGACATTGAATTCGCTTAAAAACAATCGTGATCAATATCCATCATTTTCACAATAAAATTATGAGATGGACCCTTAAAAAAGACTGATCAAATTTGACAAGCGACAGCAGAGTATAATAGTAGTATAAATATCTCACTCGTTTTCCCTTTTTTTCCTCCCTAACATTAGCTTTATACAAATATCTTGGAAGTTTTTTTAAAACATTTTTTAACAAATACGAATTTAGATTTCGAACTTTACAACATTTTTTCCCTCAAGTTCTTCGGTATGGACCTATCATTTTTCATTTTCTTCTTATGTTTTTATTTTAGGAGGATCACTAGTGAATGAGCCTGACATGGAATTACAGCATCTGAAATTCAACTCTTAATTGTCACTTTTTCCCCCCATTTACAGCAAATTATATCTCTTCGAATAAATAAAACAAAAATTCCATGTGAAGCAATTAATGATCTTTGAATTTGGCATCAAATGGTTCAAATCACGAAACCAAACAACAACTACGTAGACCCATTTCCGCTATGATTTGTTTGACTTTCTACACACTTCCTGCTAAAAAATAAATTAAAAAACATGTTAATTTTCATATTGACGGTTGAGATATTCCCATCAGTAGTCCATTTTTAGGGGGTTAAAAATGGGTCCCACGAGTAATGTGCCAGGTGTATCGTGATTCATGCGTACACGACATGCTCCCGTTGTCTAAGGTGACCTTGACCTCTGACTAGTCTATTTCTTTTGGTATTTTTTAATCCTAAATATAGTTATAAAAATACGCAGATGGATATAGATGAAAGAAAGAGCAAGCCTAGGTTATGAAAAAGAAAGAGATTCTACCATGCAAGCAACCTCAAACGAAATCTGATACATATGAACATGTAAGGAATAAACTATTGTCCATTAATTAATTATTAATTCCTTTAGTTTAATTCAATAATGAATTTATATATTTATGTTTGTTTATGGTAACTTAATTCTTCCATTATTTTTTCAAGGCAGTTCAATTGTTTTTTTTTTTTTTTCCTGAAATGTTTTTCATTTCTGCATAATTTTTTTCTGGGAATTATCAGTTTTGCAGTGTTTCGAAGTCATTCTGGTATTTTGGCAGAACTCAAATGTGGGTTAAAGTACACATGTGGTCCCTCAAGGTTCAGATTTTAATCAAATTAGTCTCTATATCACAAAATTTGAGATGGACAGAGGGACGTGCATGACCACATGTTGGAAGCATAAGGTTTTTCACTTTTCCATGGCTAGTTTTAAGGTATGTTCGAGTTAATTTGACTAAAATCTGAAAATCAGGGACCATGTTTCCAAAAGGTATTATCTAATGAAAATAATAATAACAGATAATTCATATAAATTTGATTATAAAAAAGTGAAATCATAAATAAAATAAAATTATAATGCAATTAAAATCGCTTTAAATAAACCATTTTAACCCAATTTTACATTCATCCTTTTCTATATGTGTATATGAAATAACGAATGTTTATAATTTATTGGGTATATCTCGTTAAATACATCATGTTAAGTAGCTCTACTCAGTTTTTTTACTTCTTAAATTTGAATATTGAACCCAATATATATATATATATATATATATATATATATATATATATATAAGAATTTATTTTCAATTGGCCTATAAGTTAATCCAAATATATCTTTTACTTAAAAAAAAATCATAATGTTTAGATAATTGCTTTTCGAGTGAGTGTTTTATCATAAGTAACATTTCAACATTAAAATTTAGAATCTCATATTTACGAGGTTTTCTATTTAACCTTAATGTTTTCTTTCATTATATATGGAGGATAATACGTAGATTCCTAAATTTACAACAGTGATTGAGATTGGGATTAGTTTCTTACTTTTGAAAAAAGAATGTTTAGACAGTCGCTCTTATTAATTATTAATAAGTCGAAAAGTGCGACATTACAATTCCATCGTCCGAAAGTCCAAAGTGCAAGTTAAAAGTCTTGATCGTTGAGTCTTATTATATTTATAAATCGAGAATCTACCTCACCCTAGTTCCTTATTTTTTGGGTCATCAGACCTTACTCCCTTGACTTTACTACGAAGGTATCTTCTCTCTTTAAATAAGTATAGTAATTTCTTGTAATTTTAACGTTGCTCTAAAATTAATTTTTCTCTTTTCAGATGGAGCCTGTAACTCTTTTTTTGAACTGGGTAGACCCTATGATTGAGTCCCAACTCCTAACTTACCAGTGGGGTGTTATGTCGAAGTGAGGTTAATCAATTTTGCTCTTTTCGACCTTTCTAATTCTCTAGGTGCTTGTTCTCAATCTTTAATGTCGACGGGCCTCGTTCTTTACTATTTTGTTCTTATATGCCTAAGCACAAATGTTGACTTTTGTTGGTCTATCAACAAAACATGACCCCTCCACCACCCACCACCCACCACCCACTTTGCTATTGCACAGATGGGTAGCCATGCCAAAACACACACACACACATGTACATAATATATATATATATACACACCATGTTAAGTAGCCCCGTGTCTTATCCATTCAATAAAGCTACATTTTTCTTATATGTTGTCAAAACTTTTCAGTCCAAACTCTGGATCTCTTGTTTGGCAGACTCAAATTTGATCCTTGCAAATACTTAATATTCTGTCAAGAAAGAAAACTACCCAGTAATATATGAGAAACATTATTAACTTCTCGTGATAATTTATTCCGTAAACTTACGTAGTTTTCTCTTAATGACTTGAATAAATGTAGCAGAGTAGTTTTTCGTTAATAGAAAAAGGAGAGTATGAGCATAACCTAGGATTCAGTATTTCAGTGGACTAGCTATTGAGAAAAAGGTGGCTCATGAAGCATGACTTTTATTTTATATTAGTAATATATTAACAAAGTTCTAAGACAAAAAGATGGATTTAGCTTGGATTGCAAGGGATCCTCCTTATTTGGTCAAGAGAAACTGATGAGGGTGATGATGATCGTTCATTCACTTTTGTTTATTCCTCTCTTTTCTACTCTCTCATACCTCATTACATGTATTTTTTATCGTTATTTTAAGATAATAAAAATATCTTCATATCAATGAAAAATAATTTTGTTTTTTTCAAAACCAATATATGCTAGTTTTTTTTTATACGGAAAACAGTTAAAACACAAAATAAAAGGGAAGTTGGTCATAATTTTATAAAAGTGTATTACTTGTTTTGGGGTGGACAGCAAGTCTTTGATGTTGAAAAGATTGATTAAATCGTGGAAAAAAATGATTCAAAAATAGTTCTCACCGTGAAAGAAAATCATTACCAATAATCTTTTTTTTTTTTTTTTTATAAAAAAGAAGTTAAGTGTGAAGTCTTATAATCAGTCAGCCTTTTGCTTTGTCTGTTTCACAACTGACCCTGTACAGGTGGGCTGAACTCATCTTGCTTCTTCCAATCCCCGCGCTTCTCTCCTTCTATCTCTTTCTCTCGAAGCTGTGTCCTTTTGGTCTCAGTTTCTGCTACAAACATTGGCTCCTCCTTACTAACTTTAATGGAATTTCTCTTTTGTTTGTTTTTAACTCTTTAATTTCCTCAGGTACTCTGTTTTTTTTTTTTTTTTATTTTTTTATTTTCAGTGCTTTTCTTTTCCTTCTTTTTATGATCATTAAAGATCATAACTTTTATGCTTGTTTCTGTCCAAGTTTCTTAATTTGAAGTGGGTTTCTCTTACTGTTTTTGCTGCTGTTGTTGTTCTACTTTGATTTGTGTGAGTTTGGTATGTTCTTTGATAGAATTCCCTGATTCTTGTTTTTTGAGTTCTTTTCCCTCTTTAATTCTCCTGTAATTATTCATGAGAGGGAGAGAGAGAGAGAGAGAGATAAAATTCTCTTGTAGTTTACTGTTGGCAAATTCTTTGTTTAATTGACTGATTGCTTAAAGTCTACAACTTGTTGTTGGCATCAATTAATTGAGCAAATTCTCTTGTAGTTTACTGTTGGCAAATTCTTTGTTTAATTGACTGCTTGCTTAAAGCCTACAACTTGCTGGCATCAATTAACTGAGCAATTCTCACTTTTAGACTTGTGTAATGCTTGCTCGCAGACTTCAATTTTGAAGATGATGATCATTTTCTAGGAGGGTTATATGCTTAAAAAGGTTGAATTTTACTTGTATTCTGGTAGCACTGTTAATAATTTATAATTTTATTAGAGTTTACTTGATACTTTGATTGCTTGTTGATCTTTAGGGATGATATGTCTCTTCAAGTTCTTTTAAGGCAGGTTACATGATGTTTTAACTTTGAATTGTTTCAAAAATTTTCTTCAGGAGTTTAATTCGACTTTAGAGACTATTGAAATTAGATCACTTGAGTGCAATTTTGGAAAGATAATTCATATTTTCAAGCTAGTTTGAATGCTTCGGAGAACATAATTCTTAATAAATGTCTGCTTTGTTCAAGTCCACGTTGCTTTTTATAGAGTTTTTTTTTTATTATTTATTTATTATTATTAATTTTTTTTTCTTTTTTGTGGCGATTCCCTTTTTTGGTTATATCTTTGCAATGTGTTGACATCTTCATCTTCCATCATTTTGAGTTTGGTTCCCATTATAATTTTCTTGGAGTTTCTTTCTATTATATATTTCCATAGTCGATACTTAGGAAGCTGAGCTTGTTATTTGGATTCTTTGGGGGCCTTTACTTGAGCTTTATCCTTGCTAAATATCATGAGCTTTGATATTTTGTTTGCAGTGACTAGAATCCATGAAAATGAAAATATATCTGGAATATTATCACAACTTTTAAATTGGAATTTTGGGGTCTAGTTTGTTCACTTGCATTTCCCTCCATGTTGTCTGATAAATGGCAGGTCAGAAAAGTTTTTTTCTACTCCAGTCATGGATACCAATTCACTTCTTAAGGATCAGAAAGAAAAACCAAGTCTTCTTGTTGAGGTAAAATTTTCAGTTTCAGTTGTGTGTGATTCTTAACCTTTTACAATGAAATTTATGTTCTTCCAGTATTCACTCTTGAAATTGTGGTGGTTTAGGTCACTAATTTAGAAAAACAGCTGTGGGCATTAATCCATACGAGAGGTCTATTGTACTCCAATGTTCAAGACTTGTACCGAAAAATCTGTTCGAGTTATGAGAAAATAATCCTCAGTGATCACAAACTGGAGGACCTTCAAGATACTGAATATTCTTTGTGGAAGCTACACTATAGACATATTGATGAATTTCGTAAAAGAATGAAGAGAAATTCTGCTAATGGAGAGACTGCAACATTTGCAACACCACAAAGTGTAGTTGCTGCACAGAGGGTGATTGACAACCATTTAGATGGATTTAAGTCATTTCTGTCTGAAGCAATTGAATTTTACCAAAATCTGATCTTCAAAATCAAAAGATATTATGGTCTCCCTGAAGATTTTTCCTTCCATAGCAGTGGTGGCAAGTCTGCTTCTGTTGAGCCAAAGAAAATGCAGAAACTACAATTTTTATGCCATCGCTTTTTTGTTTGTCTTGGCGATTTTGCTAGATACAGAGAACAATGTGAAAAATCTGACCCACAGAATCACAATTGGTCAGTTGCAGTCACTCATTACTTGGAAGCAACAATAATTTGGCCAGACAGTGGAAACCCTCAAAATCAGGTATAATCGCGCTGCTTTCTTATATGATATCGGTGGAAAAACTTGTAAATTGTCCTCAAGTCTTAAGAACTTAATGGCTTTTAAATCTTTGTATGCTTCTATTCTTGTTCTATATGTATGCATATAACGGACTATGTTGATTTTCAGTTGGCAGTGTTGGCAACATATGTTGGTGATGAATTCCTAGCTCTGTACCACTGCATTAGAAGTTTAGCTGTTAAAGATCCTTTCCCTGATGCATGGAATAACCTTATTTTACTGTTTGAAAGAGTAAGACTCAAGCTCATGTTCCAACCTTTTTTTTTCTTGGTTTCTTGTGTGTATGAATGCTATCACCTTCAGATTGCTGTTGCTGCCAATTTTTCTTTTTTGGTGGTTCTCAGTTGGTTTTGTGGTCTTGCAGAATAAGTCGTCCCATTTGCATTACCTTTCCATTGAGGCCCGCTTTGATTTTTTACAACCATCTGAAAGTACCATCTGGACTACAGCACAATCCACTAATGAGCTGTTGAATTGCAAGCCTTTGAAAGCTGAAGATACAGGCTCAAGGGAGACACATTTGTGGCCTCTTATCATTAGAACATTAAGTTTCTTCTTCATAAAAGCCAGGTACTCCTTGAAGCACATTTTGCTTCTACTAAACAGTCCTAGGTTTCCCATATAGATTTACTTACACAATCATCTTTTATGATTTTTTCTTGTGTCTGTTGTATGTAGCATGCGCTTTTCACTACTCTATTGGTAAAAAAATGCTTGATATGCTAACTGATATGGCATTCACTATCTGGAGTAGTCTTCTTGATAATCGTTCTGTTATCATCTTTTATAAAATTGAACATTCATTTTACGTTGAGCTTCCAAGATTTAATGATCTTTTTGAGGATTCACGAAGAATGTCAAAAGAAGTTGTAAGAATTTTGAATCAGGCAATTCCCATAAACTCCATGCCAACAGAATTAATGCTTATGTTTGGAATTTTGGCCGGAAAAACTGAAGGTCATCTTTATAGTATGGATTATTAGCTGCGAAATGATGAGGAATCCTTCCTTCTGAAATATGCGGTCACATTACTAATTCAAGGTTTTTGTCATATGCATTCTGCAAGTACCAATTCCACCATATGTCATACAGAGCTGAACTTTTGCTAACTGCTTTTAAAGCTATCCTCTTATGAACTGCTTGGTTTACAAAAGATGGTTGTATACATTACTAATTGCTTATCAATTTGTGGCAGTTTTGAGGACTTTCCTTGTACATTTGCATCTACTGTTAAAGAGCTGGATGTGTTGCTGGCACTAGACGATGGAAAGCTAAAAGCTGCAATGGAATCATATCAGCATATGTATTTAGCCAGGACTGGTCCTTTTAGAACCCTTCAATTTGTCTCGATACTCATCTTTGTCATCGAGAATCTAATAAATGGCCTGGGTGGAAAAGATTCACATGATAAAACTGAAGCACAGCAGCTCGTGTTAACACAAGCTGCATTGACTGCTTCATTCATTTTCATGGGACGCCTTACTCATAGATGTTTGAAGGCAGAATTGTTGGACTCATGCCCACTTTTACCAGCTTTACTTGTTTTCGTGGAGTGGTTGGCAAGTATTCTTGATGAACTAGAAATATATGGATCTGATGATAAATGTTCAAGTGCTATGTCTTACTTTTTTGGTGAGTTTCGTGAACTTCTGAAGCGATTTGACATTAACAGTGGTGAAGTCGAACCTCCTCCCAGCACTGCTCTTTGGGAAGACTATGAGTTGAGAGGCTTTGCACCATTAGCTCATTCACAGGTGCCATTAGATTTTACAAGTCATTGGGGACACAGAGACAGTTACGAAAATGGAACAAAATACCGTGTTAACCGCATTATTAATGCTGCAATGAAAATTGCAGACAGATCGAACAATAATCGCAAGTGGATCTTCTATGATAAATCTGGAAGAAAATTTTCTGTTGGAGGATCAGATAAATTTCCAGATGGGGAAGTATCTGAAATGATGGAGTCTGGTAATGCTGTTGTTCAAGAGAAAGTGTTGAATGAGCAAATTTTCCAATCTACAGAAAAAAGTGAGAAAGTGATCTTTGAGGAAAAATCAAGCCCTATTGTGAATGGAAAATCTGTTTCCTTGGAGGAGGAAGAAGTAATTCTTTTCAAGCCTCTCACAAGATACAATTCTGCACCACTTTATAGCTCTATCACCTCTAATGATCAAACACCTTCAGAAGACACTGGGGACCAAATTGTACCTGCCGATGAATGCTTGCGACGTGCTACGTCACTACTAATAGCACAAAACCAGGGCCAGGGTGATTCTTCAGCATTAAATTCTGACTTCACTAATTTCAGGTGCGACAAACCAATGAAACAGCAGGAGCCTCTATTAAAGGATTCAGCAGAATACCTGCTTTCAGAAGCCTCTATCTCTCACGGGAGTCCCTCTCGCAGCACTTCCATTTCTGCTGGGCCGCCCTCACTCAATGCTTGGGTCCTCAATAGAGGTTTGAGCAATGAAAGGGTGAAAGGTAAAAGTGATATGAGTGAACATAACTTGGCACCTATTCAGGAAATCGCTTCAGCATCCATGAATGATCTCTGTATCAGTGAAACTGACTCTGTAATGAGTTCCAGGCATGAACCTACGACCCCACATTACTCTCCTCCTCCTTATTCTGCTCCAGTGCCTTCTGCCCCATTTCTTCCGGATGATGCTGTCTGGCTTAATGGCAGTCAAACTACTTTCACCGACTGCAATAGCTCAGGAACAATCAACAGGATGAATTCTAATTTCTTTGAGGCATCTCAAGTGAGTGGCTATTCAAATTGGACTGGCTCTCATCAACCACTCGATTATGGTCCTGGAATTCCAGGTTTCATGGATGCATACACGCCAGTGCGTAGAATGACTTCTTCTGAATGGCTTCGTCAATACAGGGAAAGTCAGAACCACGAGCGCAGCACTAATCACTTATGGCCAGTTCATTCTTACACCATTGGGAACACTGGAAACTTCCATGACGTATCCAGGTCTGGTCTTTTTGACCAGTGGGGAACTCCTTTGGCTTCTGACCAATACATTTATGAAGCGAGCCCTCAATTGCTTCCAGGTTTTCCCCCTGTTTATGAAACTGATGATCAAAGGAACAAGTTCTTTTATGGTTACCAAAGACCGAGCCCTTATGGATGTGGTGTTGTGAATGAGCCGCAGCCACTCTTGCAGTATCTCAAGGAGAAAGAATGGCTGCTCCAGCAGGATCCAACGTGGAGAGGTCCCGCATAAATGGGAAGTTGAAACTGTCATACGAAACAGTCTATATGAGCATTGAACATAGCTGCATATCCTTGTCGGAGCTTCGTTCAGCATGTAATAATCCATAGGCGGTAACTGTTCATTTGTTAGTTGCTAGCATGTATGTGTTAATTTGTATGTATATGCATGTATTTTGCCATTCCTCCAAAAGAAGTGCTCAAGAAAGTCTCTGGAAAAATTTCAGCATTTGTAGGAATCGTATATATAGTTTGTCAAAATTGACATGCTGTATAGGTATCAGATTGTATATGCTGTGCAAGATACCATCCTGGGCAGTGGAGAGAAGGCTTTGAAAGTAGAGAATTCATTTCAAATGCTAACCTGCGAAGATTGTATTGGTATGCTTTGCTGCTGTTTTTATGACTTCAATATTAGAGAAAAGCCCTCTAAAAAGGTCTAAATGTATGGCTAAACAGTAACATTAGCGACTTGACATAAACGCAAAAATGTAAGAGATGGCTTCAAATGGGCCCCCAACTATGAGGTAATTTCATTTATGTTCCCCAACAACTTATTTAATTAGCAATGTTACCCAAAAATAAGAGTGGAGGCAACATCGGTAAATGAGATATTGTTAGATTAATTTGGGTATAGTTAAGATAGATAAAACTAGTGTTGTGATTTGTTGAAATAATAGTTAATCAACTAAGTATAATGGATGCAAACACTGAAAGATCTAATAGGGGAAACATGCAATGTTAATAAGTTATACGTTGAGTTACAAGTCATAGGTGGTCAAAGTCCAAATAGATAAAAATTTAAATATTGTTTGATATGAAAGTGAAAGAGTTTTGAAAGATAGTGTGTTTAGAAGTTTTGTTAAGAATTAAAAAGTTTTGTACCCTTCACAATGATGTGAGATTAATATTATAGTGAAATATAGGATAATCTTTGATTACTAATTATATTATGTCATCTATGCTTGGATGACTAGATTTGAGTTAGAAAAATTATGTTTTTTTCTAACTAAATTAATTCAACTTATTAGAAAACGTTAAAAAAAGTAATGGTTGAATTTTTTTAAGCTGATCTTACTTTGAATCCACCAAATTAATCTCTCTAATGCATTTCAATGATAAAGCATAGATATTGGTCTTATCAAAATACTTGTGTTCATCCTTGCATTGACCAAAACCTTATGTTGAGCAACATTCATCTCCATTGTTGTTTAGCTTGGATTCCTGCTAAAAAAAAAAAAACATGAATCAATAGATAGCAAAATTAATTAAAATTTTAATTAATTTTTATGGACAAATTAAGCATATAAGTTGGGTTAGTCGTAAGCCAAGAGTGTTCATGCAATTATAGTTCCGAATGGAGACAACCCATCGTCTCCCGATAGATGTCCGAAATGATCTATCATATGACAATTAATCCTTAACACATAAGTAATTAATACTCTTAAGTTACCATAGACACAAAATAAATAAATAAATAAATTAGGTATTAAAGTAGAAAAAATTATTGGTTAACCATTAATATAGGGAAAAAAAAAATCAAAGGTTATTCGTTAAGTGCATTGATTTTACACACACTTGTAGGATAGCACTGCTTAAATCAGTAGTTAGGGGATCATTTTGGTGTATCTAGATTAACTCTATATCTCCGACTCTCCACTCTAGTTAAAAGCCGGCCTTTTATGCCCGTGGGATTAAAGCTTCGTTTGCTCGCTTGTACTCGAATGCGTTTGAAAAGTGATTTTCATTTTAAAAAATGATTTTTTTAAAAAAAATAAATTACTTTCTTATATTTGTCTGTATCATATAAAATAAGTTGAAAATTCATGATTGTAGGATTAAAGCTCCGTTTGTTTGCTTGTACTTGAATTCCTTTGAAAAGTGAATTTTATAGAAAATGATTTCTAAGAGAATGAATTACTTTATGATATTTGATTATATTACGAAAAATAAATAAATTAAAAATCCTTTTTTCATGCTTCACCGTGTCGTAAAAAAAGAAAGAAAGAAAAATAAAATTTTTAAGTTATTTAATTTTTTAAAATATTTCCAGAAGACATTTTTCAATAACTTTTTTTCTATGGTATTCTATTTTTACAATACATTTAAAAGATCTAATATTTATAGTTATTCTATATGATAAGATGTTGAGTATTATAATATATTTTTAATAAATTGAAAATTTTTTAATAAAAATTTGTATGCACTCATATAAAAATTAATATATTATTTTCTATATCTATATATATATTAGTGATTATTATTTTCTAATAATATTATATATTAATGTTCGGCTTTGTATTATTTTATTTATTCATCCTTTAAGAAAATTATTTTTTGCTCTTTTAAAAACGAAAATGCTTTTTTTTCTTTCTTTCTTTAACTGGAAGGTGAATTATATTGAGAAATTTTCCGAAGGGTAGCTAAATATTGGAAAGTAAGGAAAATACTTTCCGACAAACAAACGGGCTTAAGAGGGAAGAGCATTGGCCCAACTTTTTGACCCAAAACCAAATAGCCTGGCTTAGCCCTGTTCAAAGCTTTCAACTTTTCAACTACGTGTATCTTTTCCGGTCACCTCTTCTCACGATCTCTCTGAACTCTGTAGAATTAAAATCTCAGATCCCAGAAACCCACAATCGAAATGGAGAAAGACAAACAGATAGACGTCTCATCAGCACAGGCAGTCTTACTTGGAGCATTAGCACCTGGTGTTAACGTAAGCATCATTTTTGTTATTGTTATTGTTATCGTACCATTATTACATTACTATGCAATCTTCTTAACCAGAAATTCATCTTTTTTTTCTTTTTTCTTTTTCTTTTGTTGTTCAAATTTCAGGGTCCAACATGGAACACGTTAAAATCAGCATTTTTTTTGTTGGGTTTGTGTCTTGCTGTGATGCTCGGCTTAGCTTTCTCCTCTAGCGACTCTTCTTTGGTACTTCATGTTGGGTTTCTTGTAATAATCACAGCTACCCTCTTCTTGCTTCTTAGCTGGTAATCTAATTCTTTTCTTAAAAAAAATCCTTACTTTGACTAAATTTTGTTGAATTGAAACGTGGGTTATTGTTGTTTGATTGATTTACTTTAGATTTTAGGACTTTTTTTTATAGTTCCCGTAAGACCATTATAATGTTTGATTTTTTTTTCTATATGATTGCTTAAAAATGATCATTGCTTAAGGTTTTAATATTTTTTCTATGTTTGTTATTTCTCTTCTTGATACTAGTCAGTATGACCAGGCCTACAATTCTAATTTAAATTTATCCTCTCTTTTTTTACCAGTAATAAAATGATTTGTATTATATCTTTTCTATTACATCAGAAGAATTTTCCTGAACAATGCTTTATAGTGGTCATTAAAATATATGACCTCTCGTGTAATTTAAATCCTTCAGATAAATAATGTAATTGTTGCAAGGTCCCTTATGTGTTAGAGCATTCGAAATGACTTGTTGATAATGCCACTAATGGATATCTTTCAATAGGCAGGAACTATTGGATTATTAGTTTATATAATTTGTGACAATTGGTTTTGCCTGAATATTAGTGTTGGACTCTGGAACCATAATTTTGGTAATGCAATGTATCTCATTTTTCCACTTGGTCTGTTTGAGGCATGGTTAAGTATTGGATCTGCGAGGTATTGTCGAAAAAGTGTCATTAGGGATGATGAACACATCTTAAGCTAGAGGGTATAAATGTGTGCTGGTTACATGTATAAGATTAAAATGCGTGAACTTACAACATGGCATTTATGTTGCCCCATTTCTTTCCTGCAGAAAGCTTTGTCTTGCCTAAGAACAATAGTTGGTCTGCAAATCTGTACATCCCAAACATTTCTCAATCTTCTTTAGGGCCTGAGGAAATGGTGCTTGATATGCCATTTGGATCCTAAGATCTGTGCAGTATTGTGTTTGCATTAACAATCCATATGGCATCTAACACTTAATTTTATCTATGTTACACTCGAATGGAAATTTATTAGTCTTTAGTCCTTAATTTTATCTATGTTACACACGAATGGAAATTTATTAGTCTTTAGTCAGGTCTACTGGTTCCTTGCTTGGAAGTATGTTTATTCATTCTATATGCCCTGCCTCTGTGCAGTCTAAACTGCTCACAGCAGTAGCTTTCTAGAAGTTATTGAAAACTAAATGTATTTGCCAATTTTCCCTGATTGAGTAACCCAACTGTACTGCCTTAGAACTGTGCTACAAAATCTTGGGTATGATGTTTTCTATTCCATGCCTGTGCAGCTGGGGCTTTGCATCTGCATGGTGCATAGATTTTTATGCACCTTATGCGTTAGTGGATCTGTCCGAAATCTAAATGATGATTTTTGCATGTTGGAATAAGAAGTTTTATTATCTGAGTTTCATTATGGGCTTTCGGTGATTTCTTGATTCCATATAATTTAGCTGCATAGATCACCATTTAATTTGACACCAGGATGTTACAGGCACATTCTAAGTAGCAAGCAGGATTTTTACTTGGGTGATTTGAGGTTGGTGCTTCTCAAGTGTCGATGGGGGCATTTACCATTTATACATGTCATGATTTGATTCTGCTCAGATATGGGGAAAAACTTTTATTCTTGAAAATTGAAAAAAGGAAGCCACTGGATTAATGCTCGTTTCATTGACCTTTATGGAATTCATCTTTGGGATGCATTTGATTTGCCTTTCCTCTTTGAAAAACCAATCCAATGAGCAAAATCGTATCTCAAATATGGCTGATAAGACATTTTCAAGTTGTAAGCTTTCTAAAGCAGCTGTTTCGTTTATCTGCAGGTTTCTTTCACAGACTGGTCTGGTTTCAATTGAACATCAAATGCAAGAAATGGATTTGGTGCCAAAAAATCAGGGAGATAAGCACAAAGAGACGTGATGTTTTTCTTAATACACTAATCAAATTAGCAGTGAAGGCATAGGAAAGAAAGGATCTTTAATTCTTTATTTCATCACCATCTAAAGGAAAAGATGGTTACAATATTCTATACATTCATTCAGAGAGAAATGAGAAGAAAAGATTGAAGGAACAACAAGCAAAGCACCATAGGTCTCTGCTCATTCTTTCATGGGACAATCTCGTCAGGCCTGGTTGTTGCTGTCGCTCTATGATGATCTTGCTTCTCCTCCTTATGTTTGCTTTCTTTGGACTTGATGAAGCAGAAACATGAGCAACATGGCAACTGAAACAAGAACTTCATCTCTTTCAAATTCCTTTGTGATTTCAATGTTTGGAAAACCTGGTGTAAATAGATAGAGCTCCTGCCCTGTTTTTTAAACCTTTATATTATTCATCCATTATCCCTTTGGATGCCATTCGTATCTTGACAGATGTAAAGATGCTTAGCCTCCCCCTTTTCATATCATTGGCCATTGGTTTCTTGTAATTCTTTATTTGGACGATGTTGCATCAGGGGAAAGAGAAGGATTACTTTGTAATGCCTTCCTTCAAAGAAGATTGCCAGCCAAAGAAAGCACATGAATTAGATTCGGAATGGGGTTACAGTTCTGATTCCACTAAAATATGGAACAATCTAGGGGTCAACTCCAAAAATACTAGGTTTTTCGGATGGGTTATAGGATATATACTCTGTGATTCTGTTAAATTTGTGGGCTCAAGCTATGGTGCCTAGGTAATGGCAATTGCTTTAGGACTTGAGTTAACTAGGCTAAAAACTTTAGAAGAAACATAACCTGGGACCATTAGATTCTATTTGTGATTTTTGTATGGGTTTTTAAGGTTCAAGACTACCTGGACTAGAGACGGACGGAAACAATAGAAAGAGCAAGACTGCGGTTTGAAAAAACCAGCGTCCTTCTGCTATCGATTTTTGACAAAATGATATTTTTGTGGTTTTAATTTAGGTAAATTGGGCCTTTATAGTTTGCTTCGTTATATTACTTAGGTATCTTCGTCTATAATCAATCTAATTTTCTGTTAATTTAAACTTTAAAAAAGAGGAGGAAATGTGTCAGTTTTCTATTGGTTATAATTTTAGATTTTTTTTGATAAAAAATAAAAAACTCAACAAAAAAATTAAAAATTTATTAAAAAGCTTTTCCAACTTTTTATTTATTTATTTCTATAATTATTTTTCATTATTATTTTTATTTATGTTAGTTTTTTTTTTTTACAAAGACAAACAAATGATTAAAAATATTTATGTTAATTTTTCAATAATTTATGCTAGATTGTTTTTATATGTTAGGATTTTTTTTTAAAAAAAAATTCTAAATGAGTCTGTATTTTATTTTCAAAATTCAAAGAAAAACTTTAAGAAATAAATAAATTTGATATAAAAATAATTTTCCAACACAAACAAAACTTTCATGAAAAAAATAAATTGGAACATCATGCCTATAAAAAGTACACAAATTGAATCAATTATGTTTCATCAATAAAGCGATATTTTTATCATTCATTGATGAAGTAAAACAAAAACAAAAAAAAAATTAAAAATTAAAAAAATACTTTTATATCATAAATAAATGAAAAATTAGATAAAAATGAAAAATAATAACAAATCAAGCATAAATTAATAAAAATGAATCTTTTTTTTTTTTTTAATTTCCATCCTTTTAAAATAAAGTAAAAAAAATAATTCCAACATAAATAAAAATGAAAAGTCAAATTTCTAGCTATAAATATATAAAAGGTTGGGAAAGAATTTAATTTTTTTTTAATTAGAATTAATAGAAAGCTGACGAGCCTTTCTTCCTTTTAATGGTCAAAATTAACTTAAAAAAATTGGGTTGACTATAAATAAAAGGACTTCCATTGTCTTATTGATCAAACCATAAAAACTCCATTGTTCGAATTAAAACTACAACCTAGTCCGAAAAAATCAATTTAAAAAAAAGAAAAGAAAGATCAGAACTGCATGAAACGTGAGGTCCAAGTTCTTCATTAATTAGCATTTGTACCGTGTAAATTGAGGCCCTGTATTATTGGTATTAGTCGTTCTTAATTTCTCTGTAACAATACCAATAAACACATCTCTGGCTGATCTCCTTCGCCTGAACAATCATACGTTGACTGTTTGACTACACCCTTTTGGTGCCCTTTAGGGCACACTTTCATATCCATAACAGTAAACACTTCTGCTCTCTGCTCGATTCGATTAATGGTCTTCCACTGTCACTGACCAACCTAGTTTCTGCCATTACTGTATGTACATTCTGAACTTGGGTCAGATCCATTACTCGTTAATGCGCAGAATGGACCATTTGGCAGCTATTTATATATACTTATGATTAATTTTCCATTAATGAGTGACTAAACTATACATTAGTTATTCACGTATCGAGAAACGAATTAATTTTTTTTTTAAGAAAACCAATAATTTAATTTTTTATATTTTAATTCCATCCATAACATAGTTTTTCATAAGTTTCCTGATAGATTAGTAATTTTCTTTTAAAATTACCTTTTTTGGTGATCCTTTATTTTTCTCTTTTATCTATTTTCTCTCTCTCTCTCTCTTCAACCAAAAATTAAAAAAAATAAAAAAATTATTAATTTTAAAAAAAATTGATGAAATGGTTAAGTTATTAAGAATTAAAATATAAAAGATTAAATGATTAGTTTTTTTTAAAAAAAAATTAATTTATTTATTTTTCTAAACTAGAAGGACTAATTTATAATTTACTCTCAAGTAGTAGAGTTGGCCAACGAACTTTTCTTTTTCATGGATTCTTAGTGAACCATTCACCAAGGAAAAAAAAAAAGTTCCGAAAACTTAATGGCTAAGATAGGTCCATAAAAGGCATATCATGAATTTGTTTGTTTTTCTTTTATTTATAAAATAGAACGATAGCTAACTAAGGAACTTTGGATCATTTCATATTAATTTTTTTTTTATAAGAAAAACTCTTATTGTATGTATATCGAGATCGAAGTTTAATTTTTTTTTCAAAAATAATAATTATTATGCATAAAAATATACAAATGTCACCAACTATAAATTATAATAAATAAAATTTGAATTTTCAATTTCATGAGTGAGTTTTTTTATGGAAAATTCATTTATCGTTACATCAAATCGGTGTTACGTCAAATTAATTGGTGTCGTATCATTGAAAGTATTAAAGTTGATGATTCCTAAGCATATTTATAGAAAAGTTTCGTCTCCTTTATTAGCAACTTATTAACTAATTAAATCCCAAATGTTCCTAATAGCTTTAAAAAACAAAAAAAAAAAAAACAATTCCATTTTTTGTGATGCCAGACACCAAATCAAAGATCGCAGTGCATGCTGTCACCGAACGATACAAGATTAACATTTCATTTCACACATTCAAGATTCAACCCACCAAGAAAACAAAGATTTTTCCTACTGTAAGAAGTAAAAAGTAAAAAGTAAAAACCCACCTCAACCAGATCCCGAAAACAGTTCTCGACATTGCTGACATGGCAAAATTCGATTGGTTCATTGACAGAACACCCCCACACCATACACAATGTGTCCGTACAATAATACCTTCTATAAATCTTAGCCACCATTTTAGGAGCCAGCCAGCCTGCTTCAGCCCTTCCTGCAACATTTTCCATAGGGATATATCGTATATATCTATCCATTGTTTTTGTGTGTGGTTTTTCTTTTTTATGTGTTTTTGTTGGTGGATGAAGGGTTTTCTTTCTTTCTTTCTTCCTTCTTCTTGTTTTTCTTGTTTTTTTTTTGGCCCATAAAAAGCCAAACCACCAGTCTGTTTCTCTCTTTTTATTCTGATTCTGTTTTGCATGGCACTGTCAGTCCTCCCTGATTTGCTAGCTACCTACCTACCCACCTTTACCTCAGTTATCACCATTTTCTCTCTCCATCACTCTCCGTGCTTTTCTTGCTGTAAAAACCCATGTGGGTTTTAATCTGATCACCTGAGTCTTCTTCTTTTTATCATTCCTATTACATACTTGAGAAAAAAAAACTCCATTATAATCGTGTATAGGTGTGTTCTTGTTGTTTTGATTTTTGCTCTTGTGTTGTTGAAGTGAAGGACGTGATCACTACTGATTGTGGAAGTTGATCAATCAACATGCCTTCTCCTTTTGAAGGCTGGGATGATCAACAGATGTTAGTATTCAATTTACAAGTACTAATTATTTTCTTCTTGTTTTTTTTTCCCCCTTTTCTTTTATGTTTTTTAAGTGTGTGTGTGTATACTGTTTATTTGATATTTTGTGCTGTTATAGGCTTGACCTATACTTGTATGATTACTTCATCAAAAGGAAGTTGCATAAAACTGCTGCAGTTTTTAGGGAGCAAGCCGATGTTGCTACGAAACCTGTTGGTATGTATGTGTGTGTTGTTCTTTCTGGCTCACTCACTCTTCTTTTACCATTTTTTTTATTATTTCTTTTTGGGTCTTCTTAAATTTTTCGCTTTTTTGGGATATTAAAATCTTCTTGTTTATTGATGAATGTCTTGATTTAACATGTTAAGTACTAGCAGTTGATATGCACTTTTGATTTATTTTTTTTCAACTTCTATTATTGTTTTATGTTTCTTTAAGAAGATGAAATTAAAGAAAATGGAGATATTTATTTATTGAATGTATCCAGCTTGTAAGATACTGGAATTGATTGCTTTAATTTTTTGCGTTGTAATTAGGATGAAATAATGTTTTGCTTCTTGTTGCCAGCAATCAATGATTCAGCCCAAGGGTTTCTATATGATTGGTGGACAATGTTTTATGATGCATATGTCCATAGGCAAGGTAGAAAGCGTGAGGACGTCAAAGGGAAAGCCCCTGTAAACGTAATGATTTGTTGAATGATAGCTATTTTCAGGCCATGTCTTTTCATTTTAACACGGTGCATTTAAGACATCCTTTTGGTTTGATTTTCGGGCTGAACAAATGTCGCAGAACGAGGAAAGAAATGCATGTCAAATTGTGCCACAGTTACCTATAAATAAGCAGAGGCACGGACAATTCCCTTTTGGTTGCGACTTTGATAAGGTGTTGGGGCAACCGGGTGCTTCTTCGATTGCTGCAAGAATGTTTGAGGAACAGTGTCGTCCGGTTAGAAATTATGATCCACAATTACAAGGACTTGATGTCAATAAACTGAATCTGTCACATTCGGCTTCAGCCATGTCAAGGTATTTTGTCACGCTAATACTATGCTTCACTCAATTGGTTTTGGCTTCCTTCCATGGTTCCACTTCTGGTGCCCATGCAGATCACGTTTTGGGGGTAAGGGAACAGTTTATAATAAAATTGCTTGAATGTCAAAGGAAAAGTATTGCGAATCTTGCTCTTAGATTTACGTTTTTACTCATGTTTCTAATGTTTAAGAGGAATGCATGATGGATCACTAAATTGAGATCGTTTTATAATAGAAGGTATCGAATTGCACTTTTTCTTTAACATTCTTTCATGTATTTCAGCTATTTGCCTCCGCAAGCTCAACAACTGGTTCTGAGGGTATGGTCTAACTTATAAGCTCCTAATTTGAATATGGTATCGCTAATGTAAATGAAAATTTGGCACTTCTCTCATGGGCAGGACAATGGAGATGGCGTTAGTACTAGCAGAGTTGGACCTTTAAGAACTAACCCATATGGTGCACAGACAGGTACATTCCCAATATATAACTAGATTTCCTTGTGCGGATATTTTTGTTCTCTGGAAAATCCAGGAGCTCATCTCATGTTTTTGTTTTGATATAACTGCGGGTAGATGAGTTATTACTTTTTACAGTCACCTTCTGTTTGTATAATTTCTTTGAAAAGGATGCAATTTACTTTCAACCATAATTAAAGGATATGGGAGAACAGTACCTATTAGTTTCAACTGGACAAATATTGTTTTCTTGATTATCTTATCTAATGATCTCATGGTTCAATTGAGTTACAAAAGATACAGGATACAGCTCTATTAAATCACTGAACTTGCATATTTTGTGTGTTGGTTTCGTGTGTAAGGACATGGATAGAAGTGATACAGTTCTACAAACTTAAAAATGAACATTCACTGGCATGGTAATTTTCTAGTCGACATATGTAATCCGTACTTTTACATTTGCAGTGACGGGTGACGGATGGCTTTCACCAAGTTATCTGCAGCAGTTTTCTTTATGGATGCAGCAATATCAACCAAGTCCCTCGGCTCAAGCTCTGTCTCTCACATCTGAAAACCTGAAGTCTGCTTCTCCTGGAAGCTCTACCAATTTTCAGGGGCAAAATCTGATCCTTCCGGAGAGCAATTTGAATATGAAAGATGCACAGGTTAGTAAAAATAATAGCTTGTCAGGTTTGTTCCTTTGAATAGGAGAGTATTTTCTTTTCCAATTTGTTATCATAGAAGCTCTAGTGCACCGTGCCTATTGTGTAACTTTCTTGTGTTATTTATCTGTATATGCGAACCACTTTGGACCTTTCAGTTTACGGTTTCATACTCCATCAATGTTGGTCTACAAGACTACAACACAAGCCTCTGGGTTACAACAAAAACTTCCAGATGTATATCGTTACACATAAAATGTAGCAATGTATTGTTATATAACTAGGGGTAGAAACCATGCCTATATATATACACGAAGAAATACTCATAATGAGATGACAATGAATTATTCACAGCACCTACAAAGTCATTATGGACAAACTGTACCAAGTAGAATAGAACTACTTCTAGCTGTGGTAAAGCTAGTGAGCTGAATTTGATGAGCAAGATGAGAATGTGAGATCCTCTGAAAAATTTCATGTTGACATGGGTGGGCAACATGAAGGGCATAAAATAATCTACTCATACTATTATAGGTCTCCTTACTATTGATCTTGAATGAAAAGATTGAAGAAGACAAAGATATGCTGAAACCTTCACTTGAACATCTTAGAAGCATCTTTTCTGGTTTTTTATTTTTTATACCAACCAAATGTGACCTACTTTTATATAGGAAGCAATTTTCTTCAATAAATTTTCTTTCTTTTGAAGACGGATAGCGGAAGCTCTATATAAATATGTAACAGTGTTGTGTGCGAGGAAAAGAAGGTCATGGAGTAAACTGGTTTAGGTTTTGATGGAACGAAATGGCCTATTACAGTTCATGTTACTTGAACATGGTCTTGAATTTTGATTAGAAAGGGTGAAAATGTAAGAATTTTGTAGTTGACCATTGAACTTGAACCTTTTGATTAGCCCTGAATAAATGTTCCTAGAAAAAAAATTTGGACTGGGAGGGATTCCATCATTCCATTGTATTGAAGTTCCATACTTATCTTTCAATCTGATATTTATCTGCAACAAGCCAGATGAGGATCCAAATTAAACAATCTCAGGAGAAGCAAAACCAACATGCTCAGTGTTTAGAGCAGCAATTATCAGAGGTACTAATCCCCATTAAACCATTTATATTATTAGGTAAATTGATATTAATTCTATGCTAAATTTTTATGGAAGGCATTGTTCTTGTTATCAATGCCTTTTTTTTCCTGTTGGTACTTTCTTCTAAAATTCCTGCTATGTGTCAGAATGACAGAAAGAGAAAGATACTGTTGTGTTCAAGAGCTGAAGGCCAAACTTTGGTGGGTCATACACCTTAGAAACAGATGAGATGACCTTTTCCTTTGGATCTTTTCTATCATTGAAACGATTTCAGGGTTTGATAGAGAGATAATATCATCATGTTTAATTTTGCCAGCATGAAATATTTGTTCCAATTGTAACTGTCTTTATGGAATGTGCATTCACAGGATTCTGTGAATGCTGAGGAAGATAAATCAGCAAAAGATGTTGAATCCTTTTTATCCACCGACGATGACCATGGCGATGGTAAAGGAACTTCTTTCAGTACTTTAAAGCGTCGTTCTACAGCTTGTAGTGACAATGATCATAAAGGTAAATCTCTTAGCCGATGAACCTCCTAAATGATGATGCACATCAGACTGTACTAGATACCCCAAGTTAATATTTTGGTACAAAAACATAAAGAATGTGCGCACAATAAAATCCTATGCATTCACAAGATTGCAGCTAGTTGATTTTACCTTTATGCATTGGTTAAATTAAACTCTTCAGCAACAAAGGTTCATTGTTCCTTCGCATTTATTTCATCATGCAACTATCTAATGAAAATATTGTTTAGAGCTCTCGTTTGCTGGAGCTTCACAGAAACTAAATTCCCTGAGCACAGTAATATGAAGAGAGTATTGGTATTTAAAATGTATTTAAAATAAATAGCGTAAATTTCTCTCAAAATAAATAAATAAATAGAGCAAATAATAATTTAGTCCCTGTGTTTTTAGCAATATAATAACTTAGTCCTCCTAAACGATAGCTTAATCCCTTGACCATCTATGAACGTTAATTCTTTAAAAGCTCCGTTAGTTTTTTTGAATATGACCAAACTATCCTAGGTTTTTTTCAATTAATATATAGTCAAAAGGGAATTTTGGAAAGAGAAATAAATAAATTGGTAATAGCTCAACAATTTATGAATGGACAATTAACAAAGAACTAAGTTATAAAAGGAAATAAAAACATAAGGATTCGATATTTGTTTTTTTTTCTAAACCAAAGGCGCTAATTGATTATTTTGCTAAAAGAACAGGGACTAAAATGATAATTTACTCGAATAAAGAAGGTTGAATAGGAATAGCATTGCTTCGGAGCTTGATTCTATCATGATTCAATTTGCTCCTCCAAGTGTTGGTCTGTATTTCATTTGAACCTCAAGCATTTTTTAAATTTTAATTTCAAAGTTCATGAACTTGTACGTATTCTCTGGACATGAAAAGTGGAGCGGACAATGGCATTTGTCATTTGCGGACATATTAATTATGCATTAGGTAGTTTACACAAAAACATTCTCATTCTGTTGAAAGTTGAGCTGGCAGATGTAGAAATGCACGTACAGCATAAGGAAGCTGCGAGTGTTTCAGTATGATTACTTGGGAAGTAGATGATTTTGTTCCAATACATTTGGCTACAACTTGCAGGCTTCACTTTTGAAGAGATTGGTTGCCTCAGCTCAAGCAAAACCAAGGTGCTGTGCTGCCATTTTTCATCTGATGGGAAGATGCTAGCTAGTTCTGGACATGATAAGAAGGTAGTTTGAGGTTATCAATCTTTGAAGTTTGCGTTTAGATTTCTTTTATCACTGACATCGTTTCAACAAATTCTGAGTTTGTCCATTTTCTATTGGCAGGTTTCAATTTGGGATGTGGAAAGCTTTAAAGCAAGTAATTCTTCTGAAGGACATTCTCTTCTTGTCACAGATGTTCGGTTTAGACCAAGTTCAACTATATTAGCCACAGCTTCATTTGATAGAACTGTGCGAATATGGGATGCAGCCAAAGTAAGGAATACTTATTGCAACTTTCCTTGGACACAGTTTGTCTGCTTGCTAACTTGAGTTAATACATAATGGTTTCTCCTTTAGAAAATCAGTACCTTCTCAAATTTTTGTGAGTACCAAAATATAGCTTGTCACTTCTAATCCCCCTTTTCTTGTTTTCTTTTCCTTGTCTTTTAAACAGACATTTTATCTTCCTTTTGTTTTAATGATGCCAAGTGCCAACACCCTAAAATTCGATTTAACACTAACCATGGCTATTCTTATCCAGCTTACTCGTAACATTGTTGGAAAACCACAAGTGGATTGAATTTCTTAATGTTCAAATTGTAAAAATTTTGAGCTGCGTTTCTATACGCTAGTATTTCTAAGTTAAGGTTCCTAACAGAAATCATATTTATCGTGTTCACTAATTGATATGTGATCTTCCCTTAACATCTTTGTTGTATAAGAGAGTAGGAATTATATACTGAAGAAGTAGAAAACAGAAATAAGATTCGCAATGGGCCTTTTTTTCTGGAAAGGAGGCTTGATGTTAATTATGAAGTGACGAGACCTGAAACTGTGGAATTTTCCACTTCATATAATTCTACTAAACTAACTCCGTCTTATTTTCTAGAGAAAAAGGTAACTAGTGAAACTTGACTTATCTGTTATGTATTTCTATTATTACAAGCAAAGCAACAGATGAATTGGAAATGGAGATTGAGATAATATTAGAATATTTTTGCTTCGCTGCTTTCAAAAAAATCATTCAGTACTATCTGTCTATATGTGTTCTTTTACTTCTCATGAGTAAAGTTGATACTCTTACTTTGGACTGGACAAGGTGGCTAGCACGCTGGTTTCTCTTTCCAAACCCATCATGACCCCTCCTCTTTACTGTTTCATACTTCAGAGTATCTTACGTAAATGCATACACTTTGATTCACTCTTGGTATTAGTTTGTGACTGATAAAATGCATCATCTTTTTCACGTGGAATGCAGCCAAGCAAATCACTGTTCAAGCTTCTTGGTCACAGTGAACAAGTGATGTCATTAGACTTTCACCCAAGAAAGGTAGATCTCCTTTGCTCGTGTGATGGTAATGATGAGATCCGTTTATGGAACGTCAACAAACGTGCATGCATGCGTGTCTCGAAGGTCTGATCTTGATCCTTGCACTCAATAGAATTTGGAACTGACTAGCAGTGCAATATACTAGTATTTTGAGATGGCATATTTTTGGTTTTATTGTTTATTTTCATAGAAGTGTTCAGAGTAAAATTTGAATTTTTTAAAGACTAGTAACTAAGTATCCTACTAGCCAGATGTTTTCTTGGCCTTATTCTCAACATAAAGTATTCTATGCGAAGTTTCAGTGCAATGTTTGAAATCAGGTTTTTGTGTGATTATATAGCGTGCCACTAGATTTGCATATATAAGCAGGTTGTCAGCATGAAGTTCCATTACTGAAAAGAATACAGTACAATAAATGAATTGCACTGTCACAGCTCATTTAGTCAGCAAGCAATTTTCATGGTAACATATCCTGTAAAATTCCATGACCTGCAATTTATCTTCACTTTTTGAGTCATTTTCCTCTCATACTGCAAGTTTCAGAATAATTATGCTGTAAAGAATGACCGTTTGATTGAAAGACTATTTTCGGTTGTCAAGGTTCTGCTGGAATTTTGTCAAACCTAACCTTCCTCTCTTCACTATTAACTTTAGGGCGCCACAAGACAGGTCAGATTCCAGCCTGGATTTGGCAAATTAATGGCTGCAGCCACGGGAAACAGTATCAATGTGATTGATGTTGAGGTTGGCAACCTCATGTGGAACTTGAAGGTAATATTTAAACATTCAAGTAGTTTAGTAGGATGCTAATTATATTTGCACCACATCCGTGAGCCAATTCCTTCCAGCTTTATAACTGATTGAATTTTTTTTTCTGTAAAGGGACATGCCAAAGAAGTACTTTCTATTTGCTGGGATACAAGTGGAAAGTATATTGCATCTGTCAGTGAGGACAGTGCACGAGTGTGGTCACTAGTTGGTGGAAATTGCCTAGGCAAACTGCATTCAAATGGCAACAAGTTCCAATCATGTGCATTTCATCCTGGGTATTCACTACTTTTGATCATTGGTGGATACCAGGTAGGCTGCTTTTCCAAGAATACCTTATCGCTTCTTTGTCTGAGAGGTTGCATTTTGCAATTCAGTGGGATAGGCGTGTGTTGCTGCATGTCTTTTCATGTATTCATTGGAAAATATACAAATGATCTAAATATAGATTTGTTGACTTGACAGCTACGAAATAAACCACATAAAGGAATCGGTGTTACTTGGATCTGAATACATATATATATGTACTTCATTGAGGTGTTCATTCCGTAGTTAAGTTTTCTATACATAAAATTGTCTTCAAAATACTAAAATTGAGGTTCTCTTTTTTGAGGTTTTTTTTCTTCATGCATTTTGGCATGCAACATCGCATTAAGTTTCTCTTTGGAAGGTTTACTTAGCAATGAAAAAAGTTTTCTGGATCATTTCTGGGTTATACATTATCATCAGCCTGCAATCCTATCTCTAACCATATGTGATATATTAGATGAGGCACATCCAATAAAGGATCTGAGCCTCATATTTAGTAAAACCTCACAGTAGATGCTATTTTAACAATAGATGAATCATTCGTGTGTCTCGGCAATTTTGTTGTGGTCTTCTATGTTGCAGGTCCTCTCTGGTAAGATCTAATGGCTTAAGTTTGTTAACAGGTCCTTGAATTTTGGAGTCCAACTGATGGTGGTAAAACATTGTCAACTCCAGCACATGATGGGTTAATTGCTGCGCTTGCAGATTCGGTGGAGAATGAGATGATTGCATCAGCTAGCCATGACCAGTGTGTTAAGCTATGGAAATGATACATTTGCATCGTCAATGCCAGCTTGTCTCTTCGTGCCAAACTATCCACCTATGGAGGTTTCTGAATTAGGTTCATCTTTCAGATAGATAGTTTCACAATGCCTTCGACCATTTTAGACAGAGGCATGCATGCAATGCTAGCAGAGTCCAATTGTCAAGAGCAATGGCTGAAAATACACCTCTTTTTTTTTTTTTTCTTCCATAGATTGCAGATAAAGATGAAATCTTATGATATGCTCAGAGTATAGCTCAAATATATAGTCAAGTATTCAAATGTTTAAATGGGACAAAAACTGCAGAAAATTTTGCTTTTGGTACATGGCGTGTACATCCTGCATTACCTTTACTGAGGGAGAATTTGAGCTTTCAAACTACTATAATATCAGCCTTCTGCTGGTAGTTTGACTGAACCTGATTTTCATGCATGGCAGGTTTTCAAATCAATGACAACCTGATCATTGCAAAACCAGAATATTTTCAATAATTTCATTTTGTTACCTGGAGAAGCCAATGAGGTAGCATGTTGATGTAAAGCAACAACTAATCAGTTACTGAGTTTCCAATTACAACTTAAAAAAAGGTTTGTTAGTCCCCAACTTTTGGATTGATCAAGAATATTGAACTGCCAGATAGTCAAGGAAAGATGGATAAAATATCATTCAGGACAACTAAAGAACACACTTTGGCATGAAACATGGAAGACAAATGACTTAATCTTGTTCTTGTTTCTGCTATTTTGAACTACTTACCTTGTACAGAATGTACATAGGAGGAACAAAAATAATGTTTCTTCTGAGGAAAAAAATCTGTTAAGCTCCTTCCGAACACATCATTTCCACAGTTCTTCCATTGGGATCCCGCGGTCACGAGCCACATCACTGAACTGCCTCATTTTTTGTACTGCAACAACCGTGGCTCTGGCATTATTGAGAGCATTCTTACTCCGAAGTTGTTTTCCCAACGCATTCTCAACACCTGCCATTTCGAGAACAATTCTCACAGCACCTCCAGCAATCACTCCAGTACCAGGTGAGGCAGGTCTAAGCATCACCTTTGCTGCCCCAAAATCTCCCTCAGATCTACCATTCAGTTATTAAAAATGTGTTGTTACTAAATAAGCTAATTTGAAAATGTTTTGCTCTGTTATATGAAACCCAAATAAGTAAAATGCAAGGCATGCTCCAGTGGACAGGTTTAAACAGGATCATTCTTGTGAATTATGCATCTATCAAGCTCCAATATCTTTTTCATGCTCATATATCTACCAAAAAGGCTCTAGACATGCCCCAGTCTTGTAGTCGATGAAGGTTTTTTCCTTGACACTCGCACCCTATTACCAAGTGCTAGATAAATGACAGCAACTTCTTCTACCTGTGTGAATCATGTATCTTGCAAAGATCAAAGTGACATAGTTGCAGCTCTCAGCTTTTCTGCAAGTCTTCTATGCTAGCTCATAACAAACCACACCCCCATATCCAACCTATCTTGAGAGTGTACGACTTGAAATATATATGAGCCAATTGACTTGAAACATACTATATTCATTTTCACCTCCCAAGAATATCCATATTTCAGAGCATATATAACTTTAATATATTGAGCGAAGCAACTTCAAATGATATATAATATTCACGTTTCACCTCCTAGGCAACTAGGTTCTACACAAGAAAGAAGTAAAACTCCCCAGTTTTATTCTACCAAAAAAAAAAAAAAAAGGTCTAAACATGTCTGATTTTCACTAAAACACAATGGAAGGCAGTGGTTTGAATAAATCAAATTAGACTTTCATATGCAATGTTGATGTCATAAGCTTCCCATAGGCACCCAATCTCAAGATACATCAAAGGAATAGCCAGAAAACACTAATTTCAAATTTTTTTCATGTACAGCTAGTCTTAAACCTATATTGCAGATTAATGAATCTCCAAACCCTCCACAGCAACTCCGAATCCTATATAATCATCAAAGGATGGTTTTGGGACAGAACATTACACTAACGTGTTGCAACAAATGTTAATCTACCCTTCATTCTAACAGCTCCCATCTCCAAATAGCCAGAAAGCACCTACAATTCTTGCAGAAATTCTACAAATCAAGTCAGCCTTACTCATGGAGGAAAATTGAATAACATGTCACAACTGACTTGACAACACTCCATATGCTTGGTTTCCCACATTCTATATAGAATGACATTTTACAAACTAACCATCTCCAAAACACCCTAAAATAGCTTCATATTCTCAATGAAACCTAACTCTCCAATACAAAATTTTAAATTTCGCAATCAGTCAAACCCTAAAATCCTTTGCACCTACAAATCCAAAAACTAACTTAAAACCAAAGATTCAACAAAATTCACCGCAAAGCAAAGCCATCACACTTAAAAAAAAAAAAATGCAAACAGAACAAAATGCAACTATCACCAAATTACAATCCTCAGATTACAAAATTAACATTCTCATTATCTGTAAACACAATAATACCACATAAAACTTGCCAATGTCGACCAAAAAAAAAAAAAAAAAAAAAACCAAAAAAAACCAAAAAAAAAACAAAACAAAACAAAAACTAGAACTTTCAAGAAAAGAGACATACCTATGAGGAAAAGTCAAGTACTTTGTCATAGGCACAGTAATAATGTTTCTTCTAGCATCAATAGCTGATTTTTGGACAGCAGCAATAACTTCCTTAGCTTTTCCAACTCCAACCCCTACTTGACCTTGTTTATCTCCAACAATAACAACGGCTCTAAAATGCAATTGTTTCCCTCCTTTAACAACCTTAGTAACTCTCCTTACTTGAACAACTCTCTCATCAAACCCATCTTTAATTTTCTCTTTCTTTGATCTTGAACTCCACCCACTTGTTTTTTTAACCTTAGAATCCATTACATAAATATCTTTGCCTAAAACACTAACTCCACTATAAGCAGGACCATAAAGTTCCTCATAAGCTGCAGCTATTTCTTCTTCAGTTTCCAATGGACCTTCATCAAAGGAGGGTGGAGGAATGTAATCTTCAGGTGGGGTTGGTGGGTCAAAAACAACTTCTTCTTCTGGGTTAACATTGTCAAAGAAGGAAGTGTCAATGTCACTCGAATTGGCTTTTGTGATTGTTGTTATGATTTTGGGGTGTGAAGAGAGGAGGGATAGAAAAGGAGATTTGGGTGAGAGAGAGAAAGAAAAAGGGTGAAGTTTGGTGGTGGATTTGAGGAGGGAAAGGCGGGTCGTGGGAGTGGAGGTGGTGGCGGTGTGGAGGGAGAGGAAGGAGAGAGTTACAGTGGTAGCGGCCATTGGTGCGTGTGGGTGGAGGATCAAGTGAGAAGTTAAGGCTTATCCTAAAAGCAGGGGATAAAGGGCAAGAACAGAAGAAGATGATGGGAATGGAGTTATTTTTGGGGCAAAATACAACTCAATCCCTAATTTATACATTTAGATACAATGAAGTTCTCAATGTTCGGCATTAAGTAAAATTACCTAAAATTATCAAATTTTCTTCAGGATTACCCCCATAAACAATAGTTCGATGATATCCATTCTTTGAGTATTCCCGCATGTGTTAACGTTAGCATTATTTTTGGATTAATATGGTGATTCTCGTCTCTCTATTTTTTAAATTTATTCATGCATTTTTTTATCTCTTAAATTTTTGTAATGTAGTCGTATGTGTCATGTCGCAAAAAAAAAAAAAAAAAGACATGTATAATGATATGTCAATTTAAATTGTCGCATAGAAAAAATTTAAAAAGCAAAATAAATCAAAAACTTTAGTTGAAAATAAAAGTAAAAGAAAATGAATTGGTATATAAAAAAAAAAAAAATACTCCTTTAGGTCAATCTATTCTAGCAATTCTTCGATTTCTCTTCGTTTTTTTTTTTTATTTCATTAATTGAAAAAAATATGAAACAAAATTAGAAACCTAAAGATGCCAAATTGCAAACCTAGGTTATGCCTAGCATTGTTGAGAGAGAGAGAAGTCAAATAAAATTAGAAACCCATAAATATTGACTACAAGCCTAAAAAATTATGAGAATGACCCAATATTGATCGTATTCGTCACTTCCAACAACCATGAAAAATAGTAAAGATGACCATTCATACACCCTAAGCCTTCCATGCCTTCATAAGTATGTACAATAATTGTAACTTGTGAGTGACAGAGTTAAACAACCACCTTCCAAACCTACACACCTAAATATTACATTTCAAAACTAATGTAATTTTTCAATTCTATAATCAAAGAACTAAAGATAAATTATAGATTCTATATATGAACGAGAATTGAAAACCTTTATTTCAAGAAATGAATCAATCAAACAAACTAACAATATAATTCATAGTAAAAACAAAACATAAAAAGAAGAATTCATAATGAATTCCGGAAAGAAAATGCAGAGAGAAGAATACAAGCTTGCCGTAAATCTAAAAGACAAATCCAAACTTCTCTCTCTTTCTTGAATGCACTAGCCGTTAGAGACATCTCTAACGAGTAATTTAACAAATGATAACAACCAACCACATCACTCTAATAACCACCCCACATGTGTTTCTCATCTTTCTTTTTATTAAAATGAATGACCCATGCTACTATTTATCTCAACTATCATATAGCTTCTTCATCCCGCAACTGAAGCTACTTGCCTAATCGATATCAATACCTTCCTCTTAAGAAACCTTATCCATAAGGTTGAAATGGGGAAAACATTGTTCTAATTCAAAAAAATTCCCAAGTAGCATCTAAAAAAGAACCATCGGACCCTTAAATGAGCGAGTTTGGTGGCAGTTTGATTGTCTCTCTTAACTATGTTGTGATCCACCAACTTGTTAGAGACAACTCTAACGATAATTCAATAAATGATAACAACCAGCCACGTCACTCTAATAACCACCTCACATGAATTTCTCATATTTCTCTATTTATTAAAATGAATGGCCCATATTGCTAACCATCTCAACTATCACATAGCTTTTTCATCTTACAACTGAAGCTACTTCCCAATCGATATCAATACCTCCCTCTTAAGAAACCTTATCCACAAAGTTGAAATAGGAAAAACATTATTCTAAGTCAAAAGAAAATTCTCAAGTAAGCATCTAAAAAAGAACCATCGGACCATTAAATCGGTAGTTTGGTGGTAGTTTGATTACCTCTCTTAACTATCTTATGATCCAAAATAGCTATTGGAACCATCGGAGTCCGAATAGAGAATGGCAAGGAACCTTGCATTGGAAATTGACCATAAGCATGTTTTAACTAGGAAACATAAAACGTTGGATAAATCAATGAATGTAAAGGAAGCTCAAGTATGTATATTGACTCCTTAATCTTATCAAGAATCTTAAAAGGGCAAAATGCTTAGGAGCTAACTTCTAGCTCCTATAAACATTGACAATTTATTGTCTATAAGATTGTAACTTCAAGTATACCTAATCCTTAATTTCAAAAATGCGGTTAGATGTCCTTTTATTAGCTTGAGTCTTCATATTCTACCGAGCTCGAGTTAAATTAACTTTTAGCAGTTCAATAATGTCTTTCTTTTCTATCAAAAATTGGTTAAAAACTTCTACCTTGCAATCATTAGGAAAATAGGGCAAGTGTAAAAGAGGAGAATAGCCATAAAAATGCCTCAAAAGGGAAACATTAGATAGTGGAATGAAAAGAGGTATTATATCAATACTCTTCCAAACATAACCCTTATTCCAATTAGAAGGAATAGATGAAGTCATAAAGTGGAGGTAAGTTTACAAGCAACAATTGACACCTCTATTTTACCATCTCGTTTGAGGATGATATACGAGTGGAAAATTTCAAAGAAACACCCTAATAGGCAAAAAGTTATCTCTAAAATTTGCTCAAAAACATAAGGTCTTTATTAGAAATGATGTTATGGGGCAACCCATGGAGTTTAAACACACATTCTATGAACATTTTTGCCATATAACTAATAATATAAAGATAAAACAATGGCATAAAGTGAGCATACGTTGTAAGCCTATCCACCACAACAAAAATCATATATTTGCCTTGAGATAAAGGTAAACCCATAATAAAATCCATAGTGATATATGTAAATATAGCTCGAGGCAAGGGTAAGAGATTAAGCAAACTTAGATTAACCATTTTTTTATATTTATATTGCTGAGATACACCATAATTTTGAATGAATTCCTAGACATCCTCGTGCAATCCCTCTTAATACACTAAAGTGGCAACCCTTATAGTGGTAACTACAATTCTAGAATTCCCTTTATTGTTGAAGTATGAAACATGAAAATCAAATCTTTCTTCAAATTCAAATCCCTTCCCACCACTAGTTTACCTTTTCCTCGTAATTGATGATCCTACCACTTGAAATCTAGATATGAACCTCTAGGTGTTTATAATTGATCAATGATCTTTTTTATCATAGGATCCAAAATCCAAGAGGATTGAATCCTAGAAAATAACTTTATAGAAACTATTGTCATGGCTAGAGTTGACAATTCCAATCTATATAAGGCATCATCGACCTTATTCTCCCTTCCTATTTTGTAGACGATATCATAGTAATATCCCATTAATTTTACTAACCAAGTTAATCGCCTAATTGTATGAATTCTCTCGCTCTAATAAATTCTTCAAACTTTGATGATCCGTGTGAATTGTAAAATGTATGTCAACTAGATATTGATACCATTTTTTCATAACAAACAAGATAGCAAATAACTCATTTTCATATATAGACAAGGATTAATGTCTTAGAGAAAGTGACTTGCTAATATAAGCAATAGGATGTCCACTTTGAATTAAAATAGCCTCAATTCCAACACCAAAGGCGTCTATCTCAATGGTAAATTCCTTTTTTAAATTTGGAAAAGTTAGAAAATGAGTTGTTACTATTACCTTCTTCAATTCCTCAAAAGTAGATGCAATTGTCATACTCGCACAAAACCATCTTTTGCAATAAATTAATAAAAGGTTTGGCTAACTTACCATAATTTTGGACAAATCTCTTGTAGTAATCGGTCAATCCCAAAAAACCTCTCAATTGTTTCAAATTCTTTAGTGTTGGCCATTCTTTGGACAACCGTAATTTTTTTATAATCTATTTAAACCCCATCTCGTAGAAATATAATATCCCAAATACTTTGCCTTTAGAGTGTCATATGTACATTTATATTTCTTTACAAATAAGATATTATACCTCGGTATATACAAAACAAATTTTAAATATTATAAATGTTCTAATAAAGTTTTCCCGAAAACGAGTATGTCATCAAAGAAAACTAAAATGAACTTTCGAATAAAAAGTTAAAAAATGTCATTCATCAATGATTGAAAAAGTATTAGAAGCATTGGTCAAACTAAATGGCATTACCAAATGTTTGTAATGACCATTGTATGTGTGAAAATTAGTTTTTGAAATGTCTTGAATGTTCATTCTTATTTGATGGTACCGTGCATGCAAGTCTAGCTTAGAGAAAATAATAATACCATACAATTCATCTAAAATTTCTTCAATAATAGGAATGGAAAATTGATCGTTGGTAGTCATTTGGTTTAGCCTTCTATAATTCACGTACATTCTTTAAGTATTGTCTTTTTTCTTGACTAGCATCATTAGAGAAAAAAATAGGCTTATACTGGATTGTATGATTCCATTACTTAATATCTCACGTGTTTATGTTGATCTCGTCTTTTTGAATAAGAGAGTACCTATATGGTTTCATCCGAATAGGTTTGGACCCTTTCTTACGGATAGTTTTATGGTCATAAAACCTGTGGAGAGGTAAGGCCTTTGGTTCCTCAAAGACATTCTCAAATTCTTATAGAATCAACTCTATCTCTAGAGGAAGATTAATTTCCAATTCTATACCATATGTCACCACTCTTATGTCTTCCATATCCAGCATATGATTTAGTTGCAACCCAATTAGGTGTTATTGCTTGCATAAAATTTTATCAATCTTTTTTTTCTTTTTCTTCTTTACTCACCTTCAAACAAATACCTTGTAACTTAAACATGTTTCCTTCCTTAAAGAACTTCATCCACATATCTTTGAAGTATTATGTAATATCTCCCAACGTATATAACCATACAATATCCAAAATTATCTCATATATCTCTAATTGCATGATAAAAACAATAGTCTCAAAAACTTTACCTTGCATCATCTAAGTAAAATTCTTACAAATATACTTATAGCAAGTTGCACCACCATCGACCATAGTGATAGGTGGAATTTTGATTAATTCACGACCATATTTTCTTGCAAATGTTAAGTTTACAAAATTATGATTGCTTCTCGTGTC